CAACATGTAGGCGTGTTCAAATAGCCTTATCGTATAAACAACAATGAAAAGCCCCTGCCTTCCCTTAATCCCGTGTCACCTTCCTGCTGGGCCCTCTCTCTTCTCTACCCCTTGTAGTCACACTTGTTGAAGTTGTCTACACTTGCTGTCTCCACTTTCTCACCTCCCTTTCACTCCACAATCCGAGGCAGTCTGGCTTCCGTCCCCACCACTCCCCTGCAACTGCCAGTCAAGGTCACCAAGGACTTCCTTGTAGTTTAATCCAAAGCACTCATTGCAGATCTTATCTTGACCTTTAAGGCATGTGATACTGCTCACTGCCCCTCCTTCCTCAAAACTCTGTTGCCCACTGGTATCGAGGACACCTGAGCCTCGAAGGCCTTCTCCTGTGGCTGCTCCTAAGTTTTCTCCAAATTCTCCCTGTCCTGGAGTGCTCTGTTGGCAGTCTTTGCAGGTAGAGCTATGTGCCAAGAATGGGGGCTCCCCCCACCCCAACACATTCCTTACACAAACACCTGGGAATTTGCTTTCTCACCCAAGAACCACACTGTTGTTTTGAACTCCAGTTTGTACCCAGGATCCCGCTGCTCAGAGTCTGACATGCCTTCTCGGGTGTGTATTTATAACCCCCACTTTGAGATGCTCTCACAACACTTAGACATCTGTTTTTTTCATTTGTCCCCTCAAAGGGGAACATGCTTGGGGAAGGGACACTGACAAATTAGAGGGCACTTGGAGAGGCTGCTAGGCCGTCAGAAACCCATGTCCTACATGAAATCCATTAACTGGGAGCATTTTTGCCTAGAAGAGATAAAAGAGTCAAGGGGGAGAGAGAGAGTGAGGGAAAGGGAACTGCTTTCTGAAGTCTGAAGAGTCAAGGGCTTGTTCTGGGCTGCTGTGCAGAGTTGGAAGTGGACCAACTATAAAAATGACAGGTGGAGTTTGTATGGAGGTAGAGATATTCTGCTGTGTTTCAGAAGATTGCTCTCTGCTTGAATTGTAAGGTGTGTGAGACAGTCCTGCCCAACAGCAAGTGCTAAAGAAGATAAAAGTTAGACCTCAGTGACCACAATAAAAGTAGGGAGTGTCCCCCATGCCTTTCTGAAGATCAATGCCCAACCCTGGCTAGCAGCAGAGCCGAGCCACAATCCTCAGCGTGCAATTTCCACGCCCTGCCAGACCCATCAAAGCTCTGTGGGTAGGAACGGTACAGCAGGAAGGAGGCTTGCGCAGCTCTCCCCAATCCAATCTTGCAGCTATTCCGAAGTGTATCCAGGTTGGGCAGGCAGTGAGCTGAGCACCCCAATTTGTTTCTTCCAGACCCCTCCTTGCCAGAATGTCTTTTCCTGACTTGTGTTTTAGTGCAATGCCATTAGCTTAGATTGAGGACCATCACAGAAACCACCGCACAGCGCTCACTGTTGTGACTATTATGGGGATGTTGCCGCGGATGTTGCCGGGATGTTTGCTTGTTACCTCACACTGTGTTCCCTTTATGAGGCCCCCCAGGAGAAATTCCTGTCTGATTTTAGTACCAAGAATAGTTGTAATTCTCTTGAGCAATAGGTCTGTTTTTATCTCATGAACAGTGGGAATTGTGTAATGGACATGGTCTCCTTTTCAGTTTGGTGGTGGGGAAGGCTTCAGGACAAATTGGTGGCCCACCCACAGGAGGTGAACAGGCCATTCAGGGTGCATTTTGGGACTGTTCCTATCTCTCCCTTATTTTCCCTTTTGCTTTTTCTGTCTTAGCTATCCTTATTTTACTGTACAAAACTGAGAACATACAAGGAAAGATAAATCATCTGTACTCATGCTCTCCAGAGATATACAGCTAACAATGTTGTCATTTTATTCAGACTTTTTAGTAAAAATGACTTCACACTGTACCTGTTCTTCAATTTGCTTTTTTTCATTCATATGTCACAATGGAATGTGTAAAAATGACAGGTGGATTTTGTATAGAGGTAGAGATGTAGACCACAATGGAATGGTCCTTAAATAATTTAAAATTTCTGTATAGCCCTAGCAACTTAATACTAATAACATCTTGTACTTGGCTCTATGTGTTTTTCCATAGCCATACATGTCAAAATAAATTCAGGAATATTATAGAATTACAACACATACATATATTGCAAGCAATTATATTTGTATGCATCAATTTATTTGATGCCCAACACCCTATGGATAGGTAACCTTGTGCCCCTTACAAACAAGGACCCCAACGCAAAGACCTGCCAGGGTCATACAGCAGCACCAGAAGCCAGGTACTCTGGCTCCAAAGCATGTCCTCCTAAGTGCCATGGCACCTTTCACTATACCACTGGGATTTCGCAGTCCATAGTGGCTAAACATTTCTTTTATTTCCTTTCACTTCATTTCTAATTTATGTTATTTTGCCATATTTTAAGTACCCTTGGAAGTCACCTGAAATCCTTTCTGCCACAAGGCAAGGCATAACTAAACAAAACAGAATAGTAAATGGCACACAAAAGCAAAGCTGAAGAGCTACTCCCAGGAGAGGGTGAATCCAGGCTGTCCTGTGCTGAGATGGGTTTATTTCCGGGGCCTCGGTGAGCCTCTCTTCCTGGAAGAACTGGCTCGGGTGGCCCAAGCTTGCAGAGGCTGGAGAAGCATGGGAAGGGCCTTCTTCCCAGGAGACTGAGCTGAGCCACATGAGCCATGGGACCCCTTACTTAGATTTTCAGGGGTCATGAAAATACCAGTAAGACAAAATGAAGCATTTAATGGAGCTAATGTACAGGCAAGACAGCCCTTGGACCAGAACCAGGACCTGAGGCCTTTCCCTCCAGGTCTGTTACTGGGGTCACACATTTCACCTAAGAAATCAACCAACAGAAATTTGTTTCCAAATGCTCAGCACGGTAGGTTCTTTCCCTTAAGCCCTTTGGTGGAGGCTGCAAGATAGTCAAAAGATAGTGTTTTTGTCCTCAGTCCTTTTGTTAAGTGACAGTGAGGCCCAGAAGTCTGGTGGCTCGCAGGAGATGCTCCAGGGGACTATAATCGAGTGGGATCAGCCACTTGACAAATGTGATGGACAGAAAGGAGCCCAGTTTCCCCACCCCCACCCCGTGTCTCATTATGTTATCCAAGTTGGCCTTGAACTCCTGAGTTCAAGCAGTCCTCCAACCTTAGCTTCCAGAGTACCTGGGACTCAAGGAATATGGCACCCTATCAGGCTAGGAGTCCAAGTTTCTATTCCTGGATTTGATTTTTACTAGCTGAGAGATGCTGGGCAAGTTTCTCCAACCTTCTGAGATCTCAATATCCTCATCTGTAAAGTAGAATTAATAACTTTGCTGCCAACTTGTTGTAGGGATCCCATGAGATATTAGTGATCTACAGCACCCTTAAAAATGCAAGCAAGGAAGTACCAATGAACCTGCCTGAGGCATATCGGGAGAGCGGGGCAGGCAGTCTTCGAGTGAGTGGCGCTGCTGGTATCCAGGTGCATACTTAACCCTTCAGCCTACTGCCCACTGCCCTGGCATACAAGGAGCCACGTTCCAGGCCCAAGGCGTAGTGACAGCTCTGGGGGTTGGGGATTCCGGCGAGCAGCTTCTCTTCACCGGACTCTGGGCGGCCTGGGCAGGAGTAAGGAGTAGGCAGAGGTCACATCCTCCTCCCCTTCCTCACGCCCCCGGCGCTGCATGCCCACAGGGGTGTGTGCGGTGCCACCGGGGCCGTCAGGCCGGGTTAGAGGAAGGCCCGACCTCGACACTGCAAAGAAAACAAACACAGATGTGTTTGGCTGGGATCAGGAACTGTCCCCTCCCCCCGCCTGCGTGCTCCCCTGGGCGCGGGACTCCCGAGGCTGCACGGGGCGCGGGAGAAGCTGACAGTCGCAGGCCGGGCCCCCCTCCTCCGCCTCCGGGGTGCTCGCCGGGCCCTGCCCCCTCTCCGGGGTTTCCCCGGGCGCAGCTCTGGCTTTCTCTTTGTCTCCGCTGCTCTTTCTCGGGCTACCCCGGTTCCCACCCGCTCGCGCTCGCCCTCGCCTGCGTCCCGGGCCGGTTCCCTTTAACTGTTCTTCTTTCCCGGGGTTAAAACTTTGCTAGCGAGCGGGCGGCTGCTCGCC